TACGCACACATGACGCTTCCAGAGCACCTCCTTACCACATGGCCACATGCGAACTGCGATCCTTCGATGAGCATCTGAGGAAGGAGATGAGTCCGAGAACCTCACCTTCCTCTCCCGACATGGAGGACGACGTGGCCTTCGCGGCCCAGATGTGCAAGGTTAAGGCCATCGTCAAGAAGGCCCGGCCCGCGCCCCCGAAGCGCCGCACCGAGAGGCCTCTCCCCTCGGTGCAGCCCACCGCGGACTCCGTCGTGAGTCTGCCGCTTTACGTCACTGAGCAGGACCGCCGGCGATTCCTCCAGCAGGCTCGCAAGGCCGCCGATAAGTACGGCGTGAAGGTCGTCAGGCCCCACGCCGGCAACCTGGTGGCGCCGTTCCTCGTCCAGGGCAAGAGAGAGGCCGCCCGCGCCTTCATTGAGCGCATGGAGGAGGACTGCGTTCGCGGCCAGACGCGCAGCTCTGATGAGACGGCCTCGCCCGACATTGCGCCCGAGCACTACGGCCAGGCCATCGGCAAGGGCGGCGCCCGCCTCAAGTACATCACCGAGAAGTACGGAGTGCGGGTTAGCGTTCCCAAGGACAGGGAATCGCCCATCGCCGTTTCAGGCCAGTCGGAGAGTGTGCGCGGGGCCATCAGGGAGATGGAGGAGCTCGTCCGGCAGGACCTGCTCAAGCGGCGCGTGGCCCTCCCGGTGAAGGTCCTTCCCGAGGACATTGGTGTCGTCATCGGAAAGGGCGGATGCCACGCTGCCCAAATCCAGGAGGAGTTCGGGGTTCGGCTCCGCACCCAGTCCCACGAGCACCCCCAAAGCCCCCTGATAGTCGAGGGGCCCCTGGACGCAGCCGAGAGGGCTGTGGCCTCCATCCAGCTCCGCGTGGCCGAGAGGCGTCGCCTGAACGAGGCGTACGCCGAGGAGCGGCGGCGCCGGGAGGAGCTGCGGGGGACGATTCCCGTCCGCGTGGAGCCCGGGCGGGTCGGCATGGCCATCGGCAAGGGCGCCTTCCGAGTCCGCCACGTCGCCCAGAGGCACAGGGTGAGGATCCAGCTCCCAGAGCGGAACAAACCCGATGGCCAGATCCTGGTGACTGGCCTCAAGGACGACGCCCGGGCCGCCGTCGCCGAGCTGGAGCTAATGGCCAAGCTCAAGCTCCGCCCCGAGCACGTGCTCGTGCCGCTCCGCATTCAGAGCGAGGAGCACGTTTTGGTGCTCGGCCCCGAGGGCTGTCGGGCCGCCTGGCTCGGGCGGGAATTCGGCGTCAGGGTCGTAAGGCCCAGCGCCGACGGGCCCCTCATGCTCGAGGGCGGCGTCGAGGCCGTGGCCAGGGCTGAGGCCCACGTCGAGGGCGTGATCGCCCAGCGGCGCCTGACCACCGCCCGACGCTTCTGATGACCCCCCCTCCCCTCCCCTTATCGCCCCGCCCCTCCCCCTCCCGTCCGTTGCTTCTGATGACCGCCCACGGCAGTGCGGCGCTCATCACTGACCACGCCCACCGCGGGACCTCAAGAGATGGTGGGCGGACGAGAAGACCAGCCTTTCTCACGCCCACCTCTCAAACACCCACTAACCCTCCCCCACCCACCTATATATATATATATATATATATATATATATATATATATATATATATATATATATATATATATATATATATATATATATTATATATAATATATATATATATATATATATATATATATATATATATATATATATATATATATATATATATATATAAATACAACACACACACACACACACACACACACACACACACACACACACACATATATATATATATATAATAGATATGAATTGGATCACAATAAATTATTTTGATTGGTAAAGGTCAAGTCATGACGCCCCTCTAAAAGATAGAGGCCAAAAATCTACTTAATAATATAGTGCACGCTTTAGGCTACAATTTGACGTAAGCTGACGATAGATTTGACAGATTGAAAAAAAATTGTCAGGTTGATTTTGAGTTAGATTATAGTTATCACCAAAATCAGCATATATATTGATTGAACAATGATCATTACTTGGTAGATCTGTATAGTAGGAACAAACAGAAATATAGAAAAAGTAAAATATGTTCAAATGTTAACAGGACAACGACGGGTGGCCTGTTTCGAGCTCCTAGCCAGAGTATGTATATATATGTGTGTGTGTGTGTATGTCTTTTTTTATCTCCCTCTCCCTTTCTCCCTGTCACCGTCTCTCTGCCACGCTCATTCCCCTGCCAGTTATGGAACAAGGTGTAGCAGATGCATTCCCGGCAGCTCCTAGGAAAGAGGGTTAGGGGACAGTTCTCTAATCAAACATAAAATAGGGAAATTAATCTCAAAATCATGCGGTCGCAATTCGAAGAACTGAAATAAAAATGTGTATTTCGGCCAATTTATTTGTAGTTTTGTTATTCTAATATATTCTAATAATTTTCTTTAATTTATCATAATTTCTATGTATTGATGCATGTTTGACTATAAATATATATACATTATATGTCACTAATGTTATGTGACTAGGCCTATAAGCTCATTGTGCCACATGGTTTAATGTTTGTATATGGCATGTATAAACTACCAATTTATAGTTGTTAACCAGCTCTAAATTCCTGAATGGATAGTTTCGGGCTGCGAGGGGCGAAAGAATTATATGAAGAAAATAAATGCTACTACAGTCATGATACGATATGAATTATATATATATATATATATTATAATTATATATATTATATATATATATTAGTAGATAAGCTATTCACAACCCTCTGAATGTCTGAACTGACCAAGAACATGAGCCCGAGTGAGCACCCCCACTGAACGACGTCGGATGTTTAGTTGGGCGTCGAGTCAACAGATGGCGCTGGTGGACGACCGTGGAGCTCACATTTTTTTAGAATGCGTTAGATAGCATGTTTCCTGTCTTTCGTAGATAGTCTTTGCATTAAATAATGCGGAAGGTCAACGTCGCGTCGACCTTAGTCACTCTTAGTCGAAGAAGGAGTCGTCTTCTGGAGCCGCAGCAGAGACAACCTCCAGGTTTGCTTGGCGGGGGTCGTCGTCTCATCGTTTATGAGAGAGAGAGAGAGAGAGAGAGAGAGAGAGAGAGAGAGAGAGAGAGAGAGAGAGAGAGAGAGAGAGAGAGAGGAGAGAGAGAGAGAGAGAGAGAGAGACAGAGACAGAGACAGACAGAGAGAGACAGAGAGAGAGACTACATTGATACAGACGGAGGGAAGGAAGGAGGGAGAGAGAGAGAGAGGGAGCGAGGAAGGGAGGGAGGGAAAGAGAGAGAAAGAGAAGGGAAGAGAAATTGAGAGAAAAAGAAGAGAAGGCGGAAAGTGTAGAAGGCGTAGAGGGAATGGGAGAGAGAAGGCGGAAAGTGTAGAGGGAAAAGAGAGAGAAGCGGAAAGGTGTGTAGAGGATATATGACAAATGTGGAAATGAGTGCATGTTAATGATAAGAACTATTTTTTTTTAATGTAATAAATGCTGGTTTGCTTAAATCTCGTTAATGACGATTTCACTACAGTGCCTCCGTGCACATTATCCAAAAATATTTGTTTTCAACGATCCCGGGCGCTGTTTCTTGTGCAAGGGAATCGGTGAGATCTGAGCACCATTTCCACCGACAACCTTCATTTGATCGTCCTGATAACAGGGCACGAAGGATGTCAGGGAAATTATCGGGTAAAACAGGATGAATATTGAACATTCTCCATCCTTCCCTCTTTATCCTTACCTCCACCCTCCTCCCTCCCTCCATCCTTCCCTCTTCATCCTTACCTCCACCCTCCTCCCTTTCCACTTCTCTCTTACTCTCTTCTCTCCTCTCTTCCCTTCTGTATCCTTATATTTATATCCCCCTTTCCCTCTCCCTCTCATCTTTCTCTCTCCTTTCACGTTGTTTCTCTCTCCTTCCTCACCTCCTTTCCCTCTCTCTCTCCATCTTCCTCATCTCCTTTCCCTCTCCCTTTCTCCCTTCCATCTCTCCCTCTCCTCATCTCTCTCTCTCTCTCTCTCTCTCTCTCTCTCTCTCTCTCTCTCTCTCTCTCTCTCTCTCTCTCTCTCTCTCTCTCTCTCTCTCTCTCTCTCTCTCTCTCTCTCTCTCTCTCTCTCTCTCTCTCTCTCTCTCTCTCTCTCTCTCTCTCTCTCCTCTCTCTCTCTCTCTCTCTCTCTCTCTCCTCTCTTCTTCCTCTCTCCTTTCTCTCCTCTCTCTCTCTCTCTCTTCTCTCCTCTCTCTCTCTCTCTCTCTCTCTCTCTCTCTCTCTCTCTCTCTCTCTCTCTCTCTCTCTCTCTCTCTCTCTCTCTCTCTCTCTCTCTCTCTCTCTCTCTCTCTCTCTCTCTCTCTCTCTCTCTCTCTCTCTCCTTCTTCTTCCTCATCTCCTTTCCCTCTCCCTTTCTCCCTTCCATCTCTCCTCTCTCCCTCTTTCTTCCTCACCTCCTTTCCCCCTCATTTTTCCCCTTTCTCCCTTCCACATATCCTCTCCGTCTCTCCTTCCACAGCTATCGGGACCAAGGATGTGGGGGTTTCCGCGCAATAATTTCTATATGAGAGAGAGAGAGAGAGAGAGAGAGAGAGAGAGAGAGAGAGAGAGAGAGAGAGAGAGAGAGAGAGAGAGAGGGAGAGATATGTTTGGTAACTAGACAGAGAGGAATTCACCGACACCGAAATCGTCGCGATCCACTTGGTGGACGTATTCCAGAAAATTACCAAAAAAGACAATCCCTTTACCTGTTGTCTTAACCTGTCCCGCCCTCACGCCCACGCAGTTGCAAATCCACGCAGTTGTAAGCCACTACGAGAGTTTACACTAGAGGTCCCTGTGTAAATAAATGTGTGTGTGTGTGTTGTTTTTTCCCTTTTTTTTTTTTTTTTGTCATCTTTCTCCCGCAAGCAAGCACTTGCCCCCCGGACGTCTTCTGCTGACAGGATCAGCTTCCGGCGTCTCAGAATCCCTTTGCTCTCCCTTTCCCTCGCTCGGCAGCGCCATCTGCA